CTATATCGCAAATGTTACAAAAGAGGAACACAACTGGGACCTGGTCCGTTTGTGTTCTCTAACAGAAGTACAAGTCCACTATCCAGCTGGAACGCAATTGCACAGAAGTGACAGTGCAGCAGACAGTGAAGCAGTCACTTGTCATTAGGAAGAAGTGTGTACCAAGAAGTGACATCACTATCCATTGTGAATTGACATCACCATGGTAATTTCTTTTGTGATATAACAACCTGGTGCAAGGCACAACTTCTTTCTTGTGCATTCAGTGATATTCTATCAAGTATAATAGCGTTCATCCTGCATTGAAGTCACTGGTGTGTCAAGAACAAGAAGACAACTCCACTAAGGATCAGTTTCTGTATAGGGAAAAAACTGAATTTATATTGAAGGTGACGTGGCATGACACGTGGACTGGTCAAATGGTCAAAACATGATGATCAGTTAAGAGGCACGGGCGATATCAGATACGAGGAGAAGAAAGTTAAATAGATGCTATTCAAATGATACGAGTCTCGTATCTATTTAACTTAATTAAAGCCAGGAGGTCAGAAGGAATTGAAGATATGAATCTGATGGCATAAAGGAGTCTAAATTCAGTATTAAATGTCCAATACGTTAGCGAATCAGTATTGAATAGGAATGATTGTGTAACGTTTCATTTAATGTCATTTAATGCTCATAATTGCCTCTTTAAGGCTAAGGCATTATACCTTTTCCTAGAAAAATCAACTATAAAAGGAGGAGGTCTCAGCATTTGTAGGGACACGAAAATCATTGAGATTACATTGAAATACAAACTTATTTACTGCTTTATTATCCTCAAAAATTTCTTATTCTTTTCGCCTCCTGATTATCAGTAACCCGATTTTTTTCTCTTAATTTCTAGTTTTAACCGAAATTCTATTTTTGGTTAAACAAATTGGTTCCGTTACCGGTAATCTGATAATCTATTCCTTTTTAAGTTACATTTTATTTGTTGTTATCATCATGTCAAACGACAACAACAACAACAACAATAATGCTGATAAAAATCAAATCCATCAGAATCAAGGAGATTTACACAACATTAACGTAGTTCCTTCCCCTCAAAATTCACCACATCAATCTCGTGAGGTACTCCTGCACCAGAATCTCATGCTGACGAGCAAGGACAATTTGAACATTTTGAGGGACCAGATGAAGCTTTACAGAAAATAATTGATGCACGGGTTAGCCAAACTCTTCAAGCTCTAGTTAGCCGGTTACCTGCTGCATCATCCACACCTACGCCTAATAACAATACATTGGAGAATCCACGTTCTGGCCTTGTTAATTCTGCAAATGAGGGAACCCCCAGCGAACCACGAGAAACGGATCCAGGTAATACAAATAATTCTCATTTACAAAATTTGGTACTAACTTTGCAGAAACAGCTCAAAAAACAAAATGAGCGCATCGAGCAAATCCCTGGAGTCCCCCCAATAATCAAAGGACTAGATGTGGATAAATACTCACAACAACCTTGGAAACCAAGTGCTGCTCCCCTTCCAATCCCTAAAAAGTTCAAAATGCCTGACATCTCAAAGTATGATGGCACAACGGACCCACGTGATCATGTGACGGCATTTACTACAGGTGTCAAAGGCAATGATTTAACCAAGCAGGAAATAGAGTCCGTGTTGGTCAAGAAATTTGGAGAAACACTCACCAAGGGTGCACTAACCTGGTATTCTCTTTTGCCTGAAAATTCTATAAACTCTTTTGCTGAGCTTGCAGATTCTTTTATTAAGGCGCACTCAGGAGCTCAAAAGGTTGAGAAGAGAATGGAAGATATTTTCAAAATCAAACAAGGGGACTTAGAATTGCTCAGAGATTTTGTTGATAGATTCCAACGGGAAAGGATGACTTTACCCCGTGTACCTGATAATTGGGCTGCAATAGCTTTTGCAAGCAACTTAAATGATAAAAGTTCAGAAGCCACTAGAAGACTTAAAGAAAGCCTTCGAGAGTTCCCTGCAACCACGTGGAATGATGTTTATAACAGGTACAGTACAAAGTTGCGAATCGAAGAAGATACCGTGCCTCGATTTCAACATGAAGAAAGGAGCAGTTCCAGGAGATCCGAAACTGAAAAAAGATCAGGTAAAAACAGGTACGATCCTTATATGGGTCCTGCAGGAAAAGATTCACGGTCAAAACAGGAAAATCAACGATATGATCAAAAATCAAGAAACAGGGAATCTGGTTCTTCATCAAGGTTCAGGAATGATCGACACAGACAAGAGTCACGAGATGATGATGGAAGTTTGAAGGCAAGATTTGGTGGATATAATTTCAATGTCACTACCTCCGAGCTCGTAGCTGTTTTGAGGAGCATGGGAGATAAGGTACGGTGGCCGAAAGAGATGCGGTCAAATCCAAATAAGCGCAATCCAGATCATTGGTGCGAATTTCACAATGATCACGGGCATAAGACTTCGGAATGTAGATTCTTGCAAAGTGAAGTGGACCATCTATTGAAACAAGGGTATCTCACTGAGTTATTTAGTGAGAAAGGTAAGCAAGCCTACATGAAAAATAGGCAAGAACCACCAAAGCCCCCATCACCCAAGAGAACCGTGAATGTTATAAGTGGGGGAGAAGATATTTATGGAGTAACATATACGGCTTCAAATAAAGTTTCCAAAGTAACAATTACGTACGGGAAGCGAGTGCGACATACCTTATAAGATGAAAGTATCACTTTTGATGATATAGATACAGAAGGAGTGATCACCCCCACAACGATGCACTCGTAATTTCTTTACTTGTACATGACACTAATGTAAAATGAGTTTTGATTGATCCAGGAAGTTCCATAAATATTATACTACTAAGGGTATTACGTGAAATGCAAGCTGAAGACAAAATGATACCGAAGGCGCATACCTTGTCCGGGTTCGACAATTCAAGTGTAGTAACAAAAGGAGAGGTAGTTCTAACAACTTTTGCTGCAGGTGTTGTTAAAGAAACTAAATTTCAGATAGTAGATATGGAAATGGCTTATAATATGATCATGGGGAGACCTTGGATCCATGATATGGATGCTGTCCCATCAACTCTACATCAAGTTATTAAATTCCCATCTCCATGGGGAATATGCCAAATCAGAGGCGATCAACAAACATCTAGAAGCATCAATTCCGTTGCAGATTCAATTGTTAATGGTGGAGACAAATAGCAAGGTAAGTGGTAACACGGAGTCAACCTCACCTGAGCAAAAGCAAACAGATGTGGATTCGAGACCTGACACCATTCAAGAACCGGAGGAGAACGAAAATATCAAAACAACGATAGAAGAGCTAGAGGCCGTGGTGTTGTTTATACATTGGCCCGAGAGAAAAGTATACATAGGAGCTAATCTTAGCCCGGAGGTAAAACGTAAATTGATTGAATTTTTAAAAGCTAATGCAGACTGTTTTGCTTGGTCCCATTCTGACATGACAGGGATACCACCGGAAGTCATGACTCATAAGTTGAATGAAGATCCATCATATCCTCCCGTCAAGCAAAAGAAAAGAAAGCAAGGAACTTTCAAAAATAAGGTGATTCAAGAGGAAGTTCAAAAGTTACTAAAAATTGGTTCAATTCGTGAGGTAAAATATCCTAACTGGTTAGCTAATACTGTTGTGGTTCCTAAGAAGAACGGTAAGTGGCGAGTCTGTGTAGATTACACAGACCTTAATAAAGCCTGTCCAAAAGATTCCTTTCCTTTACCGCACATAGACCAGTTAATTGATGCTACTGCAGGGCATGAGCTATTAAGTTTTTTAGATGCATATTCAGGCTATAATCAAATCAAGATGGATCCAGGTGATGAAGAAAAAACTTCTTTTATAACAGCCAGGGAGACTTACTGTTACAAGGTAATGCCTTTCGGTCTTAAGAATGCAGGTGCAACGTATCAAAGGTTGGTCACCCAAATATTTCAAGAACATTTAGGTAAAACCATGGAAGTATATATAGATAATATGCTAGTTAAAACTCAACATTCAGAAGATCATATATCGCACCTATCTGATACGTTTAAAATTTTACGAAAATATAATATGAAGTTGAATCCAGAAAAATGTGCATTTGGAGTGGCATCAGGAAAATTTTTAGGTTTTCTTGTTTCTAACCGTGGAATTGAAGTGAATCCTGCACAGATTAAGGCCATTGAAGAAATTCCAGATGTACTTACGAGTAAAAAAGAAGTTCAACGACTAACTGGGAGAATTGCAGCTCTGGGGAGATTCATTTCCAAGTCTTCAGAAAAATGCTTCAAATTTTTCTCAGCTTTAAAGAAACATGATCATTTTGAATGGAACGAAGATTGTCAGCAAGCACTTAAGAATCTGAAAGTATATTTGTCAAATCCACCGTTGTTGGCGAAACCAAAGGTAGGAGAGAAGTTACTCATCTATCTTGCCGTGTCAGGAGTTGCGGTAAATGCTGTTTTAGTCTGGGAGGATCAAGGTAAGCAATCTCCTATCTATTATGTAAGCAAGTCTTTGCTAGATGCAGAAACACGATACCCGCAACTAGAAAAATTAGCGCTTGCTTTGATTATGGCATCTAGAAAATTAAGACCTTACTTTCAATGTCATCCCATTGCTGTGGTTACTGCTTTTCCATTACGAAACATTTTGCATAAACATGAATTATCAGGTAGATTAGCGAAATGGGCTATAGAATTAAGTGAGTACGACATATCAACCTAGGACTGCTATAAAATCTCAAGTATTAGCTGATTTCAGTCAGGGGATGCAATTAGAAACTGAAAAAGAATTACAAGTTTTTAATGGTGCAAACCCGGGGACTTGGATTTTATTCACTGACGGTTCATCTAACTTAAAAGGCGCAGGTTTAGGAATAGTTCTCGTACCACCCACGGGTGAAACTATTAGACAAGCTATAAAGTGTCATTCGATAACTAACAATGAAGCAGAGTATGAAGCTGTCATTGCAGGTTTAGAACTGGCACGAGAACTTGGCATATC